CTACTATAAATGACTAACTTTATAAACTTACTAGAACCTTAGTGTTCTATGGCTGTTAGACGCGCACAATCGAAACCGTTCAAGCCAGAAATAGTATTGAAATATTCATCACAATACAAGATAAACGAAATGTTAGGAAACTTCTTTCAGTGAAATTAGTCTTTAATGTTTCTTTCCCAACTATATACGTTAACAGAACGTTTTTTCTCCACAGTTTTAGTGTATCACGTGCGCCATTTCACTACAGTAACATTACCTTGCAAAACATAGTCCGCGATAAAATGGTTCGTATTTACGTTTTTACTGAAGTCTGACATTAATAAATAGTTCGGATGTCACATACGTTTTTTTCCACGTTTTGTAGTTCGGTTTCAAATGAAACAACCGCGGAAAAATGGCCGTGCGTAGTGAGGTGATTGACCACAAAATTGAAGGCTGCCTGTGGCAGAGGCACTATTGCGTAAAGCGCAAAGGCCTCTGGGAAGGAGATTGTGGGCAGTGCTTGTAACTGGAACTATCGAACACACCATGTCAGTGGGTCTAACTGCCATAGAACACAAAGGTTCTTGTAAAGTTAGTCATTTATTCAATGCAAGAAATTACTGGTAAAAAAGAAGTGGGTAACTTTTGGAGTGGGAATGAAAATAACATTCAAGAAATTTGTAAATGTTTAGAGACTGACTATGATTCAAATTGGAAAAAATAAATAAAATACAGATGGAACAGGGGAACAGAATAAACTAAGAACATATAACTTATTCAAAACAGAATTTAAAATGGATGAGTGTATAAATAATGATAAGGATGGTGGAATAAGAAAAAAGAATATGCAAACTAAGAATAAGTGACCATCCCTTAATGATTGAGAAAGGCAGGCATTTAAGGCCAAAGGTTAAAGTTGAACACATGATCTGTACAAGATGCAACACAAATTCAATTGAGGATGAACTCCATTTGTTATGAAATGCCCATAAATTGTTTGACTCAATTAGAAATAAAACTGTTAATATCCATTTGATGGATGAAGATTCAAAATTTAAATACATTATGGGCAACACTTCCACATTAATACAGCTTGGTATTTTTATAAAAGAAAGTATGGTAATGTGATACAGTAATTATCAATTCCCTGATTTTTCCAAGCCATTTTGTTAAACTTTAGTAGTATGTTTTTGTTTATGTATTTAGGAATTGTTATCTAGAATGAATAATGTCAATAAAGTTAAAGTTTATTGTACAAACTAATGTTTTGGCATGTAGGAAAGGATTGTACTTTTCTAACGCAAGTCATGTATATTTTAATCTAATTAACTGAACATTTATTCGGAGTCAGGGAGTGAAACGTTCTATTAATGTGATTAAAGTAACGGAGTGACTTTCGCATAACTTTGTTAACCAAAAGGTCTTGTAGTTCGAACATATTCGAATATGCAAATGAGTTCTATGTAACACAGCTACAGCCAGATCTGAAGGCCTTTGCCGCATTCTGGCCACGCTGTGTGGCGCGGATCGCGTGGACGGGTTTCATGTTCTCTACACGTAATAAGCTCGGTTATTAAGCATCCTTTATTGGGGATGCCCGGTGGCCGAGGGGAAGACGTGTAGTGCCGTGAAGCTCGGCGATTTGCAATCTCCTTCCCAGAGGCCTTTGCGCTTTACGCAATAGTGCCTGTGCCTGTGCCACAGGCAGCTTTCAATTTTGTGGTCAATCACCTCACTACGCACGGCCATTTTTTCTGTAGTTATTACATCTGAAAACGTATTACAAAAAGTGGAATAAAACGTATGTGACATCCGAACTATTTATTAATGTCAGACTTCAGTAGAAACGCAAATACGAACCATTTTATCACGGACTATGTTTTGCAAGGTATGCAACCAAAAACGAATCACGTCTGTGCATTATCCCAGGACATGTACGTAGCAAGTTTCATAGAAATCTGTTGAATATTACATGAAAGTGCTTAAAACTGATTAATTATTATGCAAATTAGTTAATTAATAAGCACGGATTCCAAAACCAATAACGTCTGAGCATTATCCCTGAGCATATATGTACCAAGTTTCATTAAAATCTGATGATTGGTTCTTGAGATGACAAGTGGAACAGACACGTACACAGACGCACTAACCGTAAAGACTGCCATTGTGTGCTTTGGACGTGACATGGGAGTCAACTGGGTCAGCAATACCGGTTTATTTACTTCCGCCTTGGGAGCGCAATGTTGTTTCCGTGACTTTCCCAACAACACCAACCACTACTAGGGCTGATATTGCACTACAATTAAACAGAAAGACGAATTATATAAATTCACCGTGACACAATACCATACTAGGTAGGTAAACGTGTTTTTCGATGTTTCTATATCATCAGTTCTCTAGCCTTGTCGTCCGTGACTACTGATAATGCCTTTAGTTTCAAAGACCGATAAACATTACCATTATGATCCTATTGATGTTGCAAAGGATAGTTGAATATTGTTTATTGAAATTAATAATCCCCATAACCGTACAATATAGATAAATTGTAGTACGTAACAATCTGTATAACTCAGTCTCAAAAATGAAATAAATGTATATACATTTGTATTTACATTATTACTAATGCATTGCAATGCAACTTGAATTCAATTCAAATTGAAAGAAGCTGCAATATAAAATATTCCATCAGTAATACTTCCCAAAGGCGTATTTCGCGGTCAGTGCTGTCTCCATTTCCTGTCCAACCAATTTTTCCCTGACTAACTGCAGCACTTATTCATTTATGTTCTTCTCTTTCCATGAAATATCCATCAACCGTCTGCAACACTTCATCTCAAATGGTACGTTTAATTGCGAACGAGATTTTCCATTTCTCATTCGGTTCCTGTTAACCATCAAAGTACTATACAACTGATGCTTTAAAAAAGGGGTTTGTGTTTATTTTAAAATTGATTTTCAGACCCGACTATCTGAGACCATGACCGACTCGGAAAGGCAATCGATCTTATCGTCGAATAATGTATATTCACAATCACCACCGCCGTATAACTATAATGGTGAAAGTCAGCCCACTGCACCACCTTATGAAGTTCAACAGCCGTATCAAGCGCAGCCTCGGGCTGCATCAGTTCCAGTGTATATCGTACAGGGTACATTGTTGATTTTC